GGTCAAAATCCCGTACCCCCAGTGAACATCCCCAAAACGGTTTTGACCACCACAGCCCTTTACCTCCAGCTCGTCTTTTCCCATCAGCACGCCAGGCGAGCGATCCCAGGAGCGCGCCTCCTCGCGCTCGTCGGGGGCCCAAGGCTCCAGCAACTGAGACAGGGACCTCAGTTCAAGAAGGGACTGTCTCAAAATGGAGGGCCAGCAGCCTGTTTAGATGGAGATGGCTCATGATTCACATAAGCGTCTGCACAAAATGTTTTGGAAGCATTGGCGTACAATTACATCTCCGCGAGCTCTAAAGGCGGCTCTTAGGAAAACAAACCCCAAAAGTAATTTTAAGAACCCGTCAACATGTGCTCTTGGGGCCCAAAAAGCCTCACCATAGCTCGTGTTCAACAAAGGAGCTTGGACCACTCAGCTTAGCCTCTTGCGGTCTTTCTAGGACAAACACACATGCCATACGGGCCAAATGAACTAGGATGGGGTTGTGGGGCAGTATTAATACCCAATCCAAGTTATGTCATCACAGATGTCTCTTCCTTTACATCACACCCCTGCGGCAAACTGTGAAACCTCAGAGCCCGTTCTTCTCAACGCAAAGTCCTTTTCGAAAAGCCTCCTGCGCCGTGAAACTGGGCTTACCAAACTGGCAGCCACTCGCTCCAAGTTTGGGCGCCTTTTCCGCCTTTCGACTGGGCGCAGGGAAGAAAAATCAGCAAAAGTCGAATGGTGCATCCCTGGTCTCTATATGGCTGGTCAAAGTAGGTGCCCAAAATGGCTTGCCCTGGTAAAGGGAAACATGGACTGAAATCTGCGGTCCGATTCATGGTGGCTTAATTTTGACCCATACCCATATCTATATATATATTATATATGGTGCATGCTTTGTATGTATATATACATATACCAGTATAGCCGGCGAAGCCGGAAGGCGGAAGTTTCAACACAGTATACAACTATAGGAACGACTTTGTGTTGCGTTTGTTGGCAAACAGCTCAAACTTCTTTCTTTTCTGTCTCCTGTGCGTCCCTGTTTCTGATCCCTTTGTTTGTTGTTGGCAACCAGCTCGCTCCCTGTTTCTGACCCCTGTGCTTCGCGCTCCTTTTTTTCCAATGCCATCGCTGCGTGGCGGCGCCAAACACTGCGGCCTGAAGTGGCACGCATGTTGGCGATGGGCTCGCTGCTGCAAGCGCACGGCGGGGCCTTGCTGGCAGGGCACAATGCCCGGGAGCTGCAACACACAGGGGCTTAGCTATTATTCAGTTACCTATCATTATGAGCTATTATTCAGTTATCTATCATTATTACCTAAGAGCCGCCTGTAACAGCAAGCTCGTTATTACGTTCACACACGTGAGCGGCGCTCAAGGCTGCGGCACATTGATGCTTAGCTATTGAGCAGCCCCTGGTTGGGCGAGCTATGGCTAGCATGGCTGTGTCGGCTGGCAGGGCGTGGCGCCCAAGGCGCAATGCTGTGGCACACTCACGATGATGCCTAAGAGCTGCCCGTGACGGCGAGCTCATTATCGCGCTTGCACATGCGCACGGCGGCTGCGCCTGCTTGCAAGGCGCTGGGCTAGCTGCTGCAAGGCGCTGGGCTGATTGCGGCCTGAAACGGCACTCAGCGCGTCGTCCACGCGACGTCAAGGCTCTCGGCCTACAGGCGCCCAGCTTGGGGACTTCAAAGCTTCTTTGATTCTTGCGACTTTCGAGAGCGGAGTCATGGCAAGCAGATCGTCCACCAAGCGCTTCGGCGCAGACATTGCTTTGTCTGAGGGCAGCTGCGACTGACGCCTGTGTCGAAACGGCTCGATGTCCTCGACTGAGGCCAGGCAATGAAACGCAACTTGCCAGCGCGCAATCTCCGGATCACCTTCATCGGAGAAGCGCACGTCGCAGGCGGCGGGCCCCGCTGGCAGGGCCTGATGCACAAGACTGCGGCACGCTGATGCTTATTATGAAGGCACACTGATGCTTATTATTAAAGAGCCTATCCCTATTGCCTTTCTTTCTTTCTTTCTTTTCTTTCTTTGTTTCTTGATTTCTCTCTTTCTTCCTTTCTCTCTGTCTTTCTTTTCTTTCTTTCTGTGTTTCTTTCATTCCTTCTTTCTTTCTGTGATTCTTTCTCTCTTTCTTTCTTTCTACCTACCTTTTCTATCTATCTATTTATCCATCTTTCTCTTTCTTTCTACCTACCTTTTCTATCTATCTATTCTACTCTATTCTGTCTATCTATCTATCTATCTTTCTGTCTTTCTTTCTTTATTTCTTTGTTTCTTTCCTTCTTTCTTTCTTTCTTACGTTTTTTCTTCACTTCTTTCTTTCTTTATTTCTTTCGTTCTTTCTTTCGTTCTTTCTTGCTTTCTTTCTTTCTTTCCTTCTTTCTTTCTTTCTTGTCCTTTCTTTCTTTCCTTCTTTCGTCCTTCCTTCCTTCCTTCCTTCCTTCCTTCCTTCCTTCCTTCCTTCCTTCCTTCCTTCCTTCCTATCTGTCCACCTCTCTATCTCTCTATCTATCTATCTATCAACCTATCGATCAATCAATCTTTCTATCTCTTATCTATCTACCTGCCTATCTATCCATCCATCCATCCATCTATCTATCTATCTATCTATCTATGTGTCTATTTATGTATCTATCTGTCTATCTAAATATCTAGGTAGCTATCTCTCTATCTATCTATCTATCTATCTATCTCTCTATCTATCTGGCACTATGTCTGTCTAGCAATCTATCTAGCTATCTAATTGTGTTGCTATCTATCTGGCTGTCTATCTAGCTATCTATCTATCTAGCTCGCTTCATCAAAATATCTACTTTGAAAACTACTTTTGTACTTGACTTTTCCCATTTTCAAGCTGCAGCTGGAGAAGTGTACTTCGAATACTACGGAAAAATGTAATCGTACCTTCGATCACGAAAGTATTGCGAAATTGCTGCGCCTGCCACGAAATCTGTACTTGGCCTTGCGAAAATGCTGCCCCTGCCACGAAATCTATTCTTGACCCTGCGACAATGCTGCCCCTGCCACGAAACCTGTGCCTTACCTTGCGAAAATGCTACCCCCTGCCACGAAATCTGCATGCGCCGCCCTGCGCGTCCGTGCCAATGGGATTTGCGATGCGTCCGTGCCAGAAGTAAGAAAATGCTGCGCGTGCCACGAAACCTGTACTTGACCTTGCGGAAGTGCTGCGCCTGCCACGAAATCTGTACCCGCCCTTGCCAAAATGCTGCGCCTGCCACGAAATTCAACTACAGTGGGCCCGCTCCGAGACCGTTCCGAGCCCGCTCCGAGACCGTCGTCGGACTCAGCCAGCCGGAGAAGCCAAAACCCGCAGAGGGTTGCTCTTTTTCGCGATTCGCCACACGCGCACGCATGTTTTCTCGCATGCATCTATTCTTCCTTTATCTCATCTTTGCGCAAGCTACCTTCAATTAGTATCCGTAACACGGAAGTTCCTTCTAAACTTCTTTTGACAAATATCTATGTATATATATATATATGATTATATGTATACATATTACGCACCCCACATTGCTTTGACGAACCCTCCTCTCCGTCCCGGGTTTCCGCACGGAGTCTCCGAGCCAAGTAGGTCGGTGGCCCTGGCTCGCCGGGACGGTCCGAGATTCGGCCAACGTGAGCCTCTCACGCAGATGAGAAACAACCGAATTGGCGCAGACGGCATGCGAAATCGAGGCATGAGAAACAGCCCAAGTGAGGCATGACGGCATGCTCCACATCTTTTGAGCAGTCAAACTGAGAAACAGCCCAAGTGAGGCTCTTTTGAGCAGGAGGCATAAGAAACAGCCCAATTGAGGCATGCTCCACACGCTCAACATCTTTTGAGCAGTCAAACTGAGAAACCGCCGAAGTGAGGCATGCTCAACATCTTTTTGATTAGCAGCCGCACCAAGTCCTACTTTGGATGGGCAAAATCCTGCACCACGTTGAAACCATGAAAGACCATTTTGCGTTGGCATTTACAAGGGAACCATTATTCCAGGGTTTCTTCAGTGGTGCGAAATGGATTTCTTCCATCCACAGTCGTGTTCTTTTGCTGGTGGACCCTGCCGAAAATGCAAGGGGAGGCAGGCGTCTGCTCCTTGCATCTATGGGTCTGTGGGTCTAGGCTTCTGCGCTTGCAGATAGCCTTTCTCAACAATCATGGACGTGGACAAGGGAGCTTCTCAAGAGAATTCTAGTCTTCCAAAGCGATTGTTGTAAATAGGGCAGTTGTACACACAAGTTGCACTCGTCTAACAAATGGCAAAGGCATTGACCCTTCATGGAACCATGGACACGAGGGTCCTAGGAACCTGGACATGGCAAGAATGAGATGCGTCGCTCCTCATTTCAAGGAGTCTCCTTTCCAAGATTTCAAGTGTTTGCCATGCCGCAACGATGGATGACCAGGACCCTCAGGCCCCCCGATTCATGCACGGGCAAAAGAGATGAATGCCACCGGAAGATGATAAGAACCAAACCCTCGGTCCTCCAGTAGAGAGGTTAGAATAAGGGTACCCTTTTTTCTGTGGTTTATTTTAGTAGAGGAACTTTTTCTGCCCGCCTGGCCAGCTCCTCCCGCAAGCGGCGGAAGCTCCACCACGTCATGCCTGAACCCCACGCACGTGGCCCACGTGGCCCTTTCGGTATGCACGTACTGCACTTATAAGAAATACTACTGGGCTGCCCTCAGATCCCCCGCTAAAAGTTTAACTTTTACTGGGCTAAATTACCACTAAACACTAAAATGCTAAAAAGCTAAGGGGATGGCTGGGAGCCACCAAGCCTATGCACATCTATGCACCTATGAATCTACGCATGTACATATGCGCGGCCTTCTGTATGTGTGTACATATGTGTGTGTGTGTGTCTAAATGTGAAAGCGCATATGCGTGTAGTATGTCGAACATGCCTGATGTCTGTATGTCTGCCTGCCTGCCTGCCTATCTCTCTGTCTGTCTGTCGGTCTGCCAGTCTTTCTGTAAATGAGCAAGCGCGTAAGCGCCCAAGCGTGCAAGTGCGACAATGTGTCTGTGCACGCGTACGTGTGTGTGTGTGTGTGTGCGTGTGATTGCGAATGTGTGTGTGTGTGCGTGATTGCGAATGTGTGTGATTGCGAATGTCTGTGTGTGTGTGATTGCGAATGTGTGTGTGTGTGTGTGCGTGTGCGTGTGCGTGTGTGTATGCGTGTGCGTGTGCGTGCGTGTGTGCGTGTGCGTGTGCATGTGCATGTGCATGTGCATGTGCATGTGCAGGTGCAGGTGCAGGTGCAGGTGCAGGTGCAGGTGCGTGCACGTGCACGTGCAGGTGCACGTGTGCGTGCGTGCGTGCGTGCGTGCGTGCGTGCGTGCGTGCGTGGCTGGGTGCGTGAGTGGGTTGGGTTGCGTTGCGTTGGGTTGGGTGGGTGGGTGGGTGGGTGTGTGTGTGTGTGTCTGTGTGTGTATGTGTGTATTTGTGTATGTGCATTTGTGCGCATGTCTGTGTATGTGTGTTTGTGCGCGTGTGTGTGTGTGTGCGCGTGTGTGCTTATGTATGTACATGTGCGTATATGCGTATGTGTGTCTATGCATGTATGTGTGTATGTGTGCATCTGTGTGTGTATGTATGTGTCTATGTGCATCCACGTACGTAGGTATGTCATGAGTACGCCTGTACGTATGCCTGTATGTTTGTATGTGTTTGAGAGCGTATGTGTGCGAATGTGTGTGTGTATGTATGTGTGTCTGTATGTGTGTGTGTGGGTATGCATGCGTGTGTATGCGTGTGTATGTGTGTATATGTGTGTATATGTGTGTAAGTAAGAATGTGAGTATGCAAGTATGCATGTACGTTTGTATATATGCATGTGCGCATGTATGAAGGATTTTGCGTGTTAATGCGTGAACGTGCGCATGAGTTCATGTGTGTGTACATGCGTGTGTGTGTGTGTGTATGTGCATATGTGCCAGTGTGTGCAAGTGTGTGTGTGTGTGTCAAGGTATGTGCATGTATGTACGTGTGTATGTGTATGCGTGTATGCGTGTATGTGTATGTGTATGTGTTTGACTTGTATTTGGGTGACGTTGTATTTGTGTGTATGTCTGTGCGTATGTCTTTTGTATGCACGCACATACGCACGTATGTGTGTGTATGAATGTGGACACGGGTTCATGCGTGCATGCACGTATCTATGTATGCAGGTAGGTCGGTGAGTTCGTAGGTCTGTGTGTGTATGTGTGTACGTGTGCGCGCATGTTTGTATTTGAACACATGTGGATGAAAGTGCGTATGTGCGTATGTGTGTATCTGTGTGTGTGCGTGTCTCTGTCTGTCTGTCTGTCTGTCTGTCTGTCTGTCTGCCCGCCTATCTGTCTGTCACTGTGTCTGTCTCTGTCTCTGTCTCTCTTGTCTGCGGCTGTGCCTGTGTCTCTGTCTGTGTCTGCGTCTCTCTGTCTCTCTGTCTCTCTGTCTCTCTGTCTCTCTGTCTCTCTGTCTCTCTGTCTCTCTGTCTCTGTGTCTGTCTGTCTCTCTGTCTCTCTGTCTCTCTGTCTCTCTGTCTCTCTGTCTCTCTGTCTCTCTGTCTCTCTGTCTCTGTGTCTGTCTGTCTCTCTGTCTCTGTCTCTGTCTCTGTCTCTTCTTTGTCTCTGTCTCTGTCTCTCAGTCTGTCTCTGTCTCTGCCTTTGTGTCTGTGTCTGTGTCTGTGCCTGTTTCTCTGTCTCTGTCTATGTCTGTGTCTGTGTCTGTGTCTCTGTCTCTGTCTGTCTGTCTGCCCATCTGGATCTGTCTTTGTCTATCGTTGCCTGTTTGTCTGTCCGTCTGTCTATCTGTGCGTAAAAAGCTAATAGTACCCCATACTATACACTCCACCCCCTAAAAAATGCAAGAGGGACTTGCGTTGCACATAATTCCCCCCCCCAGGCCCCCAGAAAGCAAAAATCGATCTCTCAGCCCCTGATCTCTCAGTTCCCTCGCGAAAGATAGCCAAAGGTACCAGCCGGGTACCTTGTCTGAAATCCTCCTCATTGGGCCAGTGGATTCCGACCCCCCATCCTCCCCCAATCCCTTAAAATATGACCAGGGCATGGGTCAAAATTCAACGACCAGGACCGCAGGTTTTGGTCATTGGTTCCATTTACCAGGGTTCCGTTTTGGGGTTACCCAATTTTTGACCCACACCCACATGGTAAAGCCACAAGTCGCCAACCAAAAAGAGAAAGGCTGCAACTTGGAGGAGGAGTGGCTGTGGGACAGCAGCTTTGCTTGTCCGAGGCGCAGGTGCCCAGGTTGTTCTTTGGCGCGAAGGGGTCCTCGATGTTGGGCCCGCACTCCGTGGTCTTGTCATCGTGCTCAATGATGTGAAGTGGCCTCGGATGGGACGAAGTTCTGGGGTGACATTTTTGAGGGCACCCTTTTCGGGTTGGTTTTATGGGAAACCAAACCACCCTTTTTGGCCACCCTCAAAGAACTACAAACCCATATTTCCCCATACATCACCTTTGCTTCCTCGCTCCAGCTGCTTCGACTGTCAAAAGATGAGGCAAGGCGTTGATGTAGCCAAGCATCGTGCCCGGCTTCTGGCTAATCAGTACAACTGCGCACATCCTCATCTGTGGAACCCTTGTAATTGCACAAATGCAAAACGTGTTCAAAACAGACTCTATTTGTGTTTGATGTTTTCCAATACGGCAACACCTTAAAACAAGTCCATGGAACTTCTTGGCATCTTACAACACCCCGACCAAGGGAAACTCCCCTGAAATGTGCCAAACGGCTGATGTTTAAAGCCACCACAAAAAGGTGGGAGATATAGGGGCCCCTGAAGTTCGTTTGTTTGGGACCGCAAGCGAGGAAGCCGCTGGCGAGGAATTTTCCCCGGAAAGAGTTCAGCTCCCTTGGTCGGCCCTTGGGCGCTTCGGTCCTCAGCCACTGGCAATAGAAGTTGCCCGGTGACCCGCTTGTGGACGGTCTTAATCTTCCATTTGCTTAAGAGTATCTTGAATTTCCCCTGTTGGTTTAAAGGGAATCTATCACTACTGGAATTTGTGTTAATATGTTTTACTTTTTTCCAGGGGACTTGAGCAAATGGATGTCATGGGCAATCAGTCAAGAGCTGTTGCCATGCGTTCAGTTTGGGGTGTAGCCTTGAAAGGCTCCAAACCATATGGACCACATATGACTGTACACAGCCCAATAGGGCTTTCCAGCGAAGGGGGAGGGGGTCCCCTAGACGCACCCTGCAATGCGAATTGGATGCCCTGGACACCAAAGAAAGGCTAGGTCCTCCAGTACCAGAGGTTAGAATCAGTTGGTACCAACTCTTTCTTCTGTAGTCTGTTTTAGTGGGGTTCGGAACCCTCCCCAACAAAAGGGTACAAGGGCACTACTGGGCTATCTAGTAGCTCTTTATTGTTGAACCCCACACCCATCTCCTGGCTCTCCTGGGTCCGGAACCCTCCCAGCCAAAAAAGTAGGTGACAAAAAGGTTGCACCTAGCTGGGGGACCTAGAAGGATACCCACGATGCAACCGCCACGACTCGGAATCGGGGTCCCAGCAAGGACAGGGGCGCTGGGCCCTTCTCTCCGCGACGCACGCAGATGGCCTGCCGTCGCAGGTTAGGAGGGCCACAGTGGGCATGGGTCAGAATCAAACCACCGGGAATCGGCGCGCAGGTGTTAGTTTCCTTGTCCACTTACCAGGGCAGGCCATACTGGGTGCCTATTTTTGACCCACAGCCATGTGGGCCACATGGGTGGCTCGTCTTCTCGCTTCCATTTGCTTCTTCGCCCCCTGGAAAGGATGCTAATATGTCCAACAGTGATAGATTCCTTCTGAAACCAACAGGGCGAAATGAAAAACTGTTCTTAAGCAACTGCAAGAAGAGGAGAACACTTTGCTTGTTTTTTTCTTTTGCGGGGGGGGGGGGGGGAGTTATCCAAAAGAAAGACACACCCATATGGGTTCCTTAGATCCAACCTTTGGATGGGTTGTCCGCTTTTAGGTTCATGACCATCAGTGGCTTTGGTGGATCCACCCCGATATCAAAAGACCAAACGAGTACCAAAAAAGATCCAACGGGATAAGAAGAACAGGTGAAATCCACCAAAATCGCGTCCAGACGGCTTTCTAGAAGAAAGGGGCTGGACCCCAATGTCCAGCCGGAAAAAAATTTGAAAAGTGGGAAGACAACAAACAATTGGGGGACTGCGCTGCTTCGGCCAAAGCGGTTGTGCCTCCTGCTTCCAGTTGAAGTTCTGATAGAAGATCCTTGGTGGCCGCTGTGTGTACGGGCTGCGTCCCGAAGTTCAAACTGGGTGCCTTCTGGAACTTCGAACATTTCGGTGGGTTGAGGTTCTCCTCGCAAAAGTGAGAGCATAGCTACATTTCCCCCACATGTCACCATATATTGCCGCATATTGTGTCTGTGTGTGTATTTGTGATTTTGCGTGTGCTTGTGCCTGTGTTTGTGCTTGTGCTTGCGTTTGTGTGTGTGTGTGTGTCTCTGTTTGTGTTTGTGTGTCTGTGTGTCGTGGGTGTGTGCTTGTGCTTCTGCTCCTGCTGTTGCTTGTGTTTTGTGTAGTATGTGTGTGTGATAGCTTGGTTTTGTGTTTTTTCTGTGAGTTGTGGGTGTGTGGTTGTGCTTGTGCTTGTGTTTGTGCTTGTGTTTGTGCTTGTGTTTGTGGTTGTGTTTGTGTTTGTGTTTGTCTTTGACTTTGTCTTTGTGTCTGTCTTTGTGTTTGTGTTTGTGTGCGTGTGTCCTGCAAGTCTGCAGCAAAGTTGTTATTTCTGCAATGCAAATCTCACAAGCGCAGTCCTTGAGAACCCCTTCAGTTGCATTTTACTGGCCCAAATGAAAGTGTGTGGTCCAAAACAAGGGACATTGAAGACCCCCTGGCGCTTTGTCACATGAATTACGAGACTGAACGGTGCAGCGCCACAAGAATGCAGACGGCAGAAATGCGGCACAAAGGCTCATGTCAAGCTACCGAAACAGCAAAACACACACAGGAAAGAAGATCAGTAGGTGGGACTCGGGACGTGCCAATCTTGGCCAATGGAGTGAAGACAAGCCCGAGACTCAGGGTGCATAGAGTGTGAAGAGTGCCCGAAATGCAAGTGCCATTTCTTGGTTGACGTTGGAAGGGGAGCAAAGATTGAAATTTGAGCAGTGAAGCGTTTGGATTTCCCACTAAACCACAATAAGCACAAATGTAAAATGCTTCCCAACAACAACCATGATTTACCCGTGACATGGTCGTGAATGAAGTGTTCTCCTCTTGGCCATGGGCTTTTCAGGTCTGCTGCTTGGTGCGGGTTGCATTGGACAAGGCTTGTGGGGCCCAAGGACTAGCTGAGGAAACGGCCTACCACAGCCCGGCCTGGCCGGTTCCTTTTCCGGCCAAGTCCTTTCTCCGTCCGTTCTGGGACACCCACTCAAGCCAAAACGGGAGAACCATCCGCCAGGACCTCAATCCACTTTGCAGCCTGCGAGTCCTACCCGCCTCCCCCTGCCACATGTTTCTTTCTGCAAGGACCCCTACCAAGCCTTAACCCCAGGCACCACCAAGCGGTGAGTTTTCCACCCACCAGTTACTTCCAAGGTGGTTTGCCGCTGATGAGTTCCATCGCCCGGGCACACGAAGCCCTTCAGCAGCTCGGCCACCGAGACCTTCTCCATCTCCTCCTAACCGAGAAGAGGCCAGTGGCTTGGAGCAGGGTTGTGGGATCAAGGAATTGGTTTATCCAACCCATCTCTACTCTTGGTATGGTAGCGAAAAACTTTGTTTTTTGCAGACCCCCAGTAAAAATGAACAGAACCAAAAAACTAAAAAAAAATAAAAAAAAAATGCCAAGAACCGTGAAGAACCACTTCTGTGATACAAGTTGGAATCCCTCTTTTTGTGGGGGGGTCATCTTTGGGAGGCCAATTCTTTTGTTCTATCACAGAAGTGGATTCCATTTCCCTTTGTCGGGGACTCGGCCACCCAGCCCGGCGTTGAGATGATGCGGACTTGAGGCTGCACCCGAGGTGCCTCAGACGAACCTTATGTGAGCTCCGGGGAAAATGGGAAATCTGTTGGGGAAGTCTCACTCGTTCCCCCCGCACCTTCAACATGACTTGTTGCTGAAACAAACAAACAAACAAACAAACAAACAAACAAACAAACAAACAAGACAGGGTAAAGGAGCCAACCATGCAGAAGCCAAGACTCGGACCCCTGGCTACCTTGAAGTGAAAGCAAGTTCGGACATGGTAAACAAAACTATGCTTTGAAACGACCTGCTAGTACCCTTCGTCTTTTGATTGCCCTTTAAATGCAATGGACGGGGTTGGTGGTTCAAACCTCACTTCTGAAACCACCTCTAGCCCAGCTGCTTGAACATGTTAAAGATCATCGTGTTGGCACATGCACCACATTGGTTTGCCAAAACAGCGCGGCAGTTGACCCGTGTGTTTAAACCACAGCCACCAGCGGAAAGCCATGTTGCAACATCGAGCTTGGATTTAGCGGGCCAGTGGTACCAACCAACCCCGCTCCGGGAAGGAATGCTCTCCAATGACTACCCTGCAGATTAGCGGAAGGGAACCCAAAAAAAGGCTCGATGCCCAACAACAGGAAATCCTCTAGAAATTGTTTTTGTTTTTGCTTTCCTCTTTTTTCCGGGGTTCCATGTTAATCTGGAGTACTCCATCACTTTGGGGATGCCTTGAGTACAGAAATTGCAAACCCCGAGCCACACGTTCCGAGCTCCAGCGAAAGGCCGTCTCCTTGTGCGTCCAGGTCTTGGCAGAGCGGCGTTCAGCGGGAAGCAGATTGGAGATAGCCTCGGGAAACTCATGGGTGCCCCTCAAATGACAAGCCCCTGGGTGGGGGCGGTTCTCAAATGGCAGTGGTTGTCAAAACCAATCAGATCCCATTTTGGGGTAGGTGCACCGCCCATTTGGTTGGGATTTGAGTGGGGATTGGGATGTTCACTAGGGGTACGGGATTTTGACCGTGGCCAAATGAATCAAGACATGGGTGCGCCAAAAAAAGTGGAATGGGAACCGCCAAAATGGGAAAGCGGGTCCTTGTGCCTTCCCTTTAAGCCAACCCTTTTTGAGGGTACCCTTCAAGAAAGACAGACCCACATCGTATAGAAGGCCCACAGACCATGGTCAAGCACCCAACGCTGTCGGGTTTTTTAGTGTCCCCTGACCTAAAGGTCTACCCGGCACAGGTCAGATGCTAATGCCCTTCCATCTCAATAGAAGCAAGCAATTTGGCGAGGCCCCACTCTGTCAAAAACTTGAATTGGGTGTGTCTTTTTTAGTGTCCCTTTTGGTGTCCCTTAAAAACCAACCAAAAAAAGGGGCTCCCCAAAAAAAAAGACAGGACCAAGAAAGTGCTGGCTCGCTCTTTACAATCTGCGGATGATTTCTCAAAAAGGATGCCCATTCCCTAAATCCTAAACAAACCCCAAGCCCTAAACCCTAAACCAATCCACAAAGTGTTGGCTGGGTTTCAAGGAAAATACAAGGCAAACGCCCAATGGAGGTGTCCGCTGGTAGCACGCAGCCGTTTCGGAGGAGGATTGCTTGCAAGTTTCGAGGATGTGCAGATCCGCAAGTCAAGCAACGCTGCGTTGACCACAGCAGCCACGCAGGGGTTGTCTAAAAATGACGGCTCCCCAAAAAATTGGGTCGCTCCCCTTTGAGTTCCCTTTACAACCACCCTGAAAACAGGTACCCTCAAACAAAAACACTCCCAAAGAGCATGACTCTTCCTTTCACATGTGGCAACCCAGTATCAGTTCAGGCGGCCTCAATAAAAGCTGAGTGGGTCCTCATACAGTAGCTCCAGGCCCTCACTAGATTGCTTCTCCAAAGGGATGTTCGCTTCTCAAGTGGCAGCCGAAGTCGTCACAGGTTCAAAGGGACTGCAGTTCCAACTGAAAAATTGTCCGGAGACCTGGGTCCATTCAGGCTACGCAAGAGGCCACGTTGGTCCATGCAGATGCGCCGTTGGCATGCGCAAAGTTGCGAGTGCAAGCCCGCGCGAGCGAACGAACCTGGAAAGTTCGTCTTCGTCTGCTCACGCGCTCTGGTCTCAGAGTGTGCAGCTGAAGGGCTGATGGGAAGCCGTTTCAGGCTGCGGTTTGTGAAATCTGCTAAGCGCGATCACTTCAGGTAGCGTTTGCAACTGGTACTACTACTTCAACCACCATTTTCTCAATTCTACCACTAGCTACTCCTGTAGTTCTCTTATTTCTCTTACAAGTTGTGTGATTTTGTGGGCAACACGTGGCGGGTGTTGTAGTGCAAGTCGTAGTAGTTCTGGTAATGGTGGTGGTTCTGCTTGGAGCGAGTGAAATGGGGCGCAAGTTGGTAGTACTAGCACCAGCAGAGTCATACGATTCATCAAGTTACCATGAATCTCCACATGTCCAAGGACGTTCTAGAGGTAATAGTAGTTTTAAGAAGTAGAAGTAGTAGTACTAGTAGTAGTTATTGTAGTTCCAGTACTAGTGGTAGTTGTTTCAGTAGTAACACTGGTAGTTGCTTGAAGCAGTTGTAGTAAATCTATTAGCAGTAGCAGTAACTTGAATGATGCACCCATACGATTCATCAAGTCACCATGAAACTGCACATGTCCAGGCAGAGCTCCAGATCAAATGAATTATAACTGCCCCAATTAGCAACTCGCAGCTTCGCCGCATAAAAACTTGAAATGCATGGCTTAATCTTTGAGACAAGAATACAACTACTGGCAGGATCAAGAGGCAAACCAGGATCCATCTGAAAGTTGAGACAGAATGAATAAGTTCATTGCACCTTCCTCTGCCAAACCTCGGCTCGACAAAAAGACCCTCCAGCCTCAAACTCGTTCATGGGCGGGAGCAGGGGGCCGTGCTCATTCCCGGCTTGGAGGTAATAGACGGCCAGCCTCGATCAAATTAATCCTATCTTGCCCAAGGTGAATCCCACAAAACGTGGATGCCTTTCCTCGGTTGCTTTCTGCTCCCCTGCTAAAAGTTTAACTTCTAGTGATTTGATACTGAAAACCCATTAGTTGGCAAAAGGTTAAAGTCCTAACATCCCTTGGCAAAATGCACCAAAGTTTCCTCGAGAAAACGACATTCGGGATATGTCCTTAAGCTTGATCTCTGGGCCGGTGAGCATGACGGGCTTAAAAATGGTCTTGGAATTCGACGTTTTGTCCGGTTCCATCCTTCCCTGCGCGAAACCATGACACACGAAACTGCGCGATCCGCCTCCCACTTACGGATATGTTCCAGTGCCGATCTTGACTCGGCACAGATGGGGAGCTTGGGGCATAACGAGCTGCATGAGAAAGATCGCCTCTCTTGCGAACCCCACGGATCGAATTCTGGGGCTCTGGAGCGGTGCAGGTCAGTCTGACCAAGCCATTCTGACTTTTTGGTTTAGAGGGGTCCTGAGGAAACACCCACACCGCAAAGCAAGTGTATGAGGAAAGCGCCATGTTCGTTATAATCTGCTAGACACTTTGGTTATTAGATCTCAATTGCAAAGAACGAAGCACGAAAGTTATCCCACCAGCACCGCCCCACGAGAGAATCAAAAGCAGGCAACAATGCTGGCCTGTTTTGCGAGGCAGAATTGGGTTGGGTGTAATTGCAAACGATTAAACCGTACCTCGCCCAACGTTTTGATCGCATTGTGCGCTGCGGTCGACCTTTTCTGGAGATTTTAGACAGACAATTTGTTGGAGCATGGTCATTGGCGCCCAGACTTCAAATTCATGTTGTCCCCAGATTGCAGTAGCACCTAGAAGAGATGCAACGCTCCAAAAAAAAAATTGGAGAATCCACCCAAAACGGGTTGCAGCCCTACACATTTTTCAACTAGGGCTTTATGACTGACCTGGGTGAATTGAAGAGTCGCTCCAAATATGTCTGGAATAGCCGTTAGACAAACCCGCACTCACTTGAGTGAGTCATGCCAAAGCAGTTCAAACTTTTTGGGAAGGCCAAAACGGTTGTCCCAAAGAGTTGTTAAACCTTGACCTCCGGGAGTGAGATCAGGATCTGAGCAAACACAAAGCATGATCCGTCCTGTCCACATGGAACCTGACATTTCGGGCTCATGGCAACGACAAAAGGCTAGGAATGGCACGGTTGCAAGCGGGGAATGGCAACATCCACTTTGCGGTCCCACATTGGAGATGCACAAGAGCTGGAAGCCCCTCTTCGAGGAATGGCTACCCCAAAAAAAACATGGGGTTCCATGGGCCTTCATGGCCCTCAAGAAGCATCTATACACATGTGTTGGTGTTCCTTCTTTTCATCAAAATTCCCTTTATGTTTGATTTGAGCAACCTAAAAGATATCATGCATGGTGTGAAAACAAGCCCATGTGAACGTATAACATCTACATATTTAACCATCAGGCCTACCCCTCTCACAAACGTTGGTCTGCCCCTCTCACCATTTCCCTTTACCCGGCCCCCTTTGGGCGGGGCAAGCTCCAGATGTATGGCGAGAGGTGCCCCTGGCTCGATCGATCTCGACCGCCACGGAGCCTTGAAAATTGGGTCTTTCTCAAACTTGGGGGCCCTCCAGACAAGTCTTTAGCCGGAGTTGTTGTGGTCTCCACGGCACGACGTGAGCAGCACTGGTGGTGCTTGGGGGGGATCTGAACAGCCCTATACTGTCCGGGTAGCATCGCACTACTCCATATCATCGGGTCTTGAAAAGGGTTTCCTTTCCTCCAGACCTTTGGATTGGCTGGTAATACTATCCAAAAATTGGCTCCGCTTCAAACACCCCCAAATCAAATGATGCCATCGGTGACTGCCCTACACAAATAAAAAACAAAGTCAACATCGAAACGTAAAACACATGCAAAAAGCGGTGCCACCCGGTATGAAAGGAGTATGCCCAAACAATGTAATTACAGAATCAGAACGGCGAGTTCGTCTATTGGGTTGGCACTGTCCCCTACTGTTGAATCACGCAGGTTTTGATTGAGCTCGCTTGTTTTACCGAAAGGCCTGGAAAAAGAAGACCTAACACCAAGGACATGAGAATCCCCGAGCTGTGGGCAAGCAACGGTCTGAACTCGCTTGCCTCCACGAAAATAAAGTTGACCTTTGCGTCGTCAATGGGCATGGATCAAAGAAAGGACATCCAACGGGTCCAGAACATATGGGTACGGAGTCCAAAAAGTTGTCCCACCCCAACCGGTTTCTATGCATTTGCGTCTGTTTGGAGCTCATCGACCTATGGAGGAAACCGAAAGCCCGGGCAACCTTCGTAGAAGGGGCTCTCAGAAAGGTTCCGAGAACATTCTGTGCCCAGTCAGAATATCTCTGCAACAGCTCATAAACATTTGCAGGAACCACAATTGCTGTGGTCCACTTTGCAGGCACCTTAGGCTTGCAAAACAGTGCGCGACTGAGTGGTAGGAAGCCCAAATCAAAAGGGATCTGAGAAGGGGAAGTGCCAGTTGATTAGTTGGGTCGCCCCCCCCCCCTTTCGAAGAGAGCGTTCCGAACATGGCCCACTGCAAGCGGGGCATACGTCCAGACCGGAACACTCGGCGGCCCCTCCTCCGGCCGCTAAGAAGCAACCAGCCGACCGGACAACCAACCAATGAAAGAAAAAAAAAGACATAAATATATATATATATATATATGTGTATATTATGTGCACACAAATGAAAAAACAATACACTAGAAGCAGTTTGGAGCTGTCTAACAATCTTTTCAACCCAGTGAGCTTCTGTCAAGAAAAAGCCAAGCTTCAAACCCACCCCACAACACTTCAAAACCGGTGAAACAACCCACCCACCCACATCCCCACCCACCACCCACCCACCCACCCACCCACCCACTACACTTTGGGAACTGAAACAATGCTTCTAAACCAACCTAGGCTGGCCTGGCTTCAGAAACCAAGAAGGCTTGCGTCGCAAGACAAAAAATCGCTTTGGGCAGCAAGAACAATTCCATAGCATTCTTCTTGCATGGGTTCTATGGAACCGTGGCACCGGGGCATTTATTTCAGTCGAAGAACCTGATGTCTGATGGTTAGGAGTACAAGTCGAAGTGCCTGTGTGTGTCTGTATGCGTACGTAGACAATACCCAGCAAGTTCCCTTTTGTTTCATGAATGAACTGTAAGCTACAAGAGCCAATGCAACACTACAAAAAGGCCTTGAGCCCAACTGGCATGAAGGCCGAGTGGTTCCAGAACAGGGAACAAAACAGACACAAGTTTCTTTTGACCTTCAGCATCAAACTAGGTCTCAAGGCTCTACGGCGTAGCCATATATTTTGATTGCGGCGTAGCCATTGAGCGAGCTCTTTAGATCGATTTCATGTTGATCCTGTCTCGTATTTACATGGCGAAAGGGACACCTAGATGTGTCCAAATGTATTATTGCGTCTTATGACTGCGCAGGCGCATTGTCTTGATTGTCTTGGAAAAATAGGGGCCGCACTGTCCTTGCGAAACTGTCGGCTCACTCACTCACTCACTCGCTCCCTCCCTCCCTCCCCACTCACTCACTCACTCACTAACCCACTCACTGGTTTATTTACTCACTGCTGCCGCTGGCTCTCCTGCTGGCGTGAGCGCTCTTGTCCTGGAATTGAGCTGGTGGAGCGCAGTCCGCCAGGCTAGCTGGGAGCGGGGATTCAAACTCTCGTCTTCTCTGCGTTGTCTGCTGTGTGAGCAAAGGACATGAGACCGAGATCCCAGTTTGAGCAGACCACGCAGTCAGGAATGCCATCCACTCGGAAGTCACAATCTTATCAACTGCTTCCAGGCTGTGATACTCTTGCTGGACGCCTCATGATCCAGACCCATGGCGCAAAAAGGACACGGCATAGCTGCGCCTCTGCCTTGAACGCTTGAGCGGACGTCTGCCTTTCAAGTTTGCCTTGTCACGCTGCACTGTCCATTAGACAACATATGTCACTTCACTCATTTGTGTGTTTCTCCCAGCCCTCCCACCCAACACACCTTTGATTCATCCATGGGGGATGCGCGTCCTGGTATGTTGGGCCTGCCCCTCCATCCATGGTCAGTGGATGGGGCAGGCCAACCACATCGTTCCAGGGGAGAATTTCCCCTTCCGCAGGGCCACCCTCTAACGCTTTCCCCACCCCCAATGGTCGCGAATTTAAAGCAAACAACTAGGAAAAACAAACCATTCTCGGGCTCCAAATCAAAACCTTTTCCTCTTTTCAAACCTGGAAAACCCAAGCCACCGGAGAAAAACTTCTTCCCCCCACTTTATTTAGCTCGCCCAAGCCACAGGAAACTTCTTCTCCCCCCCCCCCCCCCTGACGTTGGAAGGGGAGCAAAACTTTATCAAATTTCAGCAGTTAAGCGGATTTGGATTTCAACCACTAAACCACCATAAGCCAAAATGTGTTCAATGTTTCCCAACAACCATGTTTAGGGCTCTCTCCCCGCTCCCCCGGTTGTTTTTTTCGCCGCCCAACACAGAAATCCCCCCCTCCCCCCCACGCGCAGATCGCCGCGAGGCACGCTCCACACCTCAGCTCCGCGCCTTGGGGGAGTGGCAGATGCCCCGGTCCTTGGCCCAGCGCCGGATCAGCAGAATCAGCTCCTCCCGACCGACCCGATCCGCGAGTCCCGCCGAGCCCCGCGCCATAACAACCGAAGCTTTTTGTGTTGTAGAGAGGATGGTTAAAAGGCAGATCCCATTTTTTAGATGGTGTTTGGGTGTTCGAGGACCGACACATGTGGGCTCAAAATGGGCTTCTTTTTGTTTTGGGGAGGGGTATTTCTTGGTCCGCCGCAAAGACGCCGAGGGCTTCAAATGTATCGTGTGTTTTTTGTTGGGGGGGGGGTCTCGGTCTGAGGGCCGACCGAGAAAATTGGGTGGGGAAAAAGCATGTGGCGGTTTCTCGGGGATTTGAGAAGTAAGAACTTTACCCTGCACTGCTGATAGAGAACTTGGGGAGTTGAACTCTGGGCCAGGGGAGTTGGACAAACTGCCAAGTTGTGTTTGATAGGGGTTTGAAAAAAAAGGTGTAAGCTTGTTTGGGTCAAGCGTGGGAACTGGGGCTGGAAAATGCCAAGTGCGGGGTGCCAGGTATTTTGTTGGAGTTGGAATACGCAAAAAAGGCAGTGGAAGAAAAGGATTGGCTTGGTTGTTGGGCTTGGACGCGGGACTTCCCGGGATTGATCCCTAAGTGAAATCGAAGAAATGAGGGTGGGGGCAAGCGATCGCCTCGCGCGATAGACAGAGAACTCGCACAAACTGTTGGGACCTCGCGAAAAGTTGAGATCCTGTTCAAGGAGGTTCCGTCATCAACACTTGCCATGGAACCCAGGGACCCATCTTGCGGGTCCGCTATTTTCAGCAACATCCAGTCGGAAGATGTTTCTTCCCGACTCTGGCGTCACGTCGCGCCCGTCCTTGGCGCGGGGGTTGATGTTGCCGCACCTCATTCGAGAATCGAGGCATCATAGATGCGTCCTTTGTCCCCTAGCAGTCATATTCCCTCAGCACATCTGGATCCTCGCTAAAAAGATGGAAATTGAAATTGCCATCCCGCATGGCCCGCCGGCCAAGCTCACAGTCTGCCGATTCAACAGTCAACATCATGTTCAGGTATCGGGTTTGAAGGTATGGTGGCTTGTATACCGCCAATGCAAGTCACAAAGGCGGTAAATAAGAAAAAAACGGTTCTCGGGAGGCTCGGGAACTCAAGGCACCCTTGGAAAAAGGGCAAATGCATCGATCTGGAGCCAACAAAGGGAAGAAGAGGAATGCTCAGATACCCCTTTTTGCAAGCGCTCCCCATCTAGTCGTGCGCAAGCTCCACACCTAACGTTGGTACAAAAATGCTCCAGACGCAGGCACGCCAAAAATAACGACCCCCATAGCAAAGCGTACAGCCTCTGAACAGGTGTCATTTCCTCCAAAAAAAGCAAACATCGTCCAAAAAGGCAAGCTTGCGGCATGCTTTTTGGGCTCCATGCCAATCTAATTGTCCCCCTACCTATGAAGGTCTATGAAGAGGGGCAACTCGATGTCAAGGTCTTCCCAAGGGGGAACAAGACAACGGAACTCCAACTGTCGCCTGTTATGGCCTTGCCATGGCGCATGCGCCAAGTCTGGTACAGGGGGTCCCCAAATCATGTAAGGAATCAAGAGGGCTGATATCCACACCTATTTCTGGCACGGACTGCTCCCCCACTAACCTTCCACCCCCCGCCCGGGTCTCCCTACCTTGCTTGTGCCTCACATGGGTTTGTCTTTTTTTGAAGTGTACCCTGTTTTGGTTGGGGGGTTGAAAGGAAAATCCAAAGGAAAGCCACCAACACAGGGGTCCCCTCAAGAAGACACAAATATACATATATATATATATATGTATACATATATATATATATAACTCCAAAGGACCCCCCACAATTTTGGGGGTCCCGTTAGTCCGCTGAAAACCCGGCAGCCACCTGAGGCCCCAGGCTCCGTCAACAAGGCCGCGCTGTGCAACGGCGAGGAGGCGTTCACGGAGATGTCAATGGGCACAGCCTCGGCGGAGAGGTGCCGCAGGGGGCCGAAGGGCCGAAGAAAGAGCGCCTCAAAAACATGTAAAGTGGCATGTGTGGCAAATGGGTGTGGCTCAAAATTAAACAGGAGGGGCAAACCGCAGGTGTTGGTTCATGTTTCCACTTACCAGGGTTCCATTTTGGTACCGGTTTTTTGAGCCACAGCCACCCCACCACAAGACTCACTCGGCGGATCCACCAGTCTGCTGGGCATCGCCCCGCTTCTTCTTCTTCTTCTTGCCCTTTTTTATTGGGCAAGGCAAGGGTTTTCCACTACCAACCCAGTTTGACAGGCTCTTTGGAAGGTTTGGACTTGGTTCTGCTCCAAAAAGGGGCACCGTTCTTCTGGGATCACCCCATGGGAGTGGTTCCCAACCCTTTTTGCGCCGTGCAAATTTGCAACACGCCCCATGCGTGCCAAAATGGTGAAATGTCTATCTCTGGCTGGCATTTTGCCAGCCAAAAGGACACCGACCATGTTGGGTGGCCACAATTTTGAGAGCCCCCCCCGCCCCCCAAATTCGTCGATGGTTTCAGCTTCCTAATCTTTGGAGCTACCAAATCCTATCGTCAGAATCAGATGTTTGAGTGTCCTTTCCCGAGGTTTCCCTTTTCTTCCATTTGCTTCAGCCCCCTGAAAGAAAAAAAAAATGTCCAAGAGTGACATCGATTCCCTGTAAAACCAACAGGGCAAGATCAAGACAGAAAATTAAAACATATTCATAAGCAAAAATGGAAGCTTCGCGCGGCCCCCAGATGTGTGTATGTCATTTCTGGAGGCGTCCCTTTCGGGCGCGGTGCAGTTGTTTTCGATCGGATCCCCTTCCGCCTGCTCGAAGATCTGCAGCTCCGGCGGCACGAGGAGCGTCATCTTGGGCTCCGCCCTGAGACTTCGGCGGCCCGCCGGTGGACGAGGACGCGGGGAGAGTCGGTCTTTCCAGGGCCCCTGGGAGTCGGTGGGGGAAAATCATGGGGGCTGGGGGGGAGGGAGGGGGGGGGGGGGGGAGCCCAAATAAGGCCTTTTTAAGGGCTTAGTAAGGGCTTATTTGGGCTCCCTCCCCCTTCCCCTCCCTCCCCCCCAGCCCCCATGAGAAAAAGGTAAAATGGTATCATAATCAAAACCCGGTATTAAAATGGTCGACCCAGAACCATGTAAAGAATTAAGAACCGCAGAACCATGCTTCAAGAGTTAAGAAGGCGGCCGCGGCTATTTATGGTTGGGATTGTCCCTTACTAACCTTCATCTACCAATCATGGAAGCTGACAGGAGGGTTTTGGAAGACTATTTTCCTTCTGGGCAACCCCTTTGTCCACTTCCATTGTTGGAAAGAGGGTAAGATGGTCATTGAATGGCAGCTAAAAATGGAAAACCAAAAGGTTAAAAGGTCGGCTTTGGGCAACTGAGATGGCAGCTCTGCCATTTGGTAGTGGTGCTTTGAGCAATTGTTGACGAGTCAGCATGAAGACCTCGCTGGGACACCGGTCTGCTTTGTTGTGCCCTCAGGGTCCAAGATTGGCTTGATCTGTTACAACCCCCCCAGTTGTTTTGGTTTGATGCTGCAACACTTCTCCCCAGCTTTCCTCTCATGGTAGGACTCGTGGTAAACGAATGCGCCACCAAAAACCGTTTTGGCAAGAGGGGTGCATATTTCCATTGGGACCCTTTAGTGATGCGGTACTCTCTAAATCACATCTCCCCCGAAACCGGAGGACAACTGTGTCCCATGTCCACCGCATATTCCGATCGTGGCTCACCTATATCTCCAAAGGGCAGACCCCTTTTGGACGGTTTCAAAGGAGAAGCCAAACGAAGGCTATTTTATACTTTGTTTTGCAAAACACCCGTGTGCTCTCTCTCAAAATTGGGGGACACCAAGGCTGGGTTCTCTTAGGGTTTCCCTTTAAAGCCACAAAGGGTCCCCCGCAAAACAACGCGCCCATATGGGCATGAACTGGAAGTAGGGACCTTTTGGACATCAAACGTTGGGATGAACAAGTCGACACTGTTGCTACTGAAGGCGGTCCCTGTTTAGTGGAAAGGATGTTGCGCCTAGGGAACCTGTCATTCAGTACGAAGGGCTTTCCGAACCTGCTGTCAACACAAGCCTAGTTTTGACACTGCACTTGCCTGCTTAAGCAGACATTCTCAACCCACGTATTCGATGGGTAGCAACAAAGACCGACTCAGCCACACGCAGCGGTTGCTAGCCACCCCCAAAGAGCAAAGAACATTGGCCCTAAGACGAACACAAGCAAGCAAGCAAGCAAGCCAGCCAGCCAGCCAGCCAGCCAGCCAGCCAGCCAGCAAGCAAGCAAGCAAGCAAGCAAAAGCAAGCAGAAATAACACAAACCAAGCCAACCAAACAAGAGACACTGAAATAAAGAAATGAGGAAGCAAGGCAAACAAGGGAAACAAGGGAAACAAGGGAAACAAGGGAAACAAGGCAAACAAGGGAAACAAGGGAAACAAGGCAAACGAGGCAAACAAGGCAAACAAGGCAAACAAACAAACAAACAAACAAACAAACAAACACACGCACGCACGCAAGCGAGCGAAAATAAAAAAGAGAAGCACGAAGCATCAAAAGCAAGACTACGCAACGCAAAACAAAACGGGAAACAACAAAGCACCCAAACACAGTCAACAAACAAAACACTGCAAGCAAAAACTGGAACCGGGGAAACAAACAAACAACACTTAAAAAATGATGATAATGAAACAACAAACACAATAACAATCATACTAATCATAGAAATGCTTGCAACCCCACACCGGCGCGAGTCGCATCTGTCAGCCCCTTTTGGCATCGGACGACTCGACCGGAGAGACCGACCGGTCCGGGCGGTTTTCCCCCCGGGGCCCCGGGCCCACGGAAGCCGGAGCGGCGGAACTTGAAGCCGCCGGTCTCGGGGCGGGGTCGGGGGGCTTTTGGCTTTCTCTCACGGGGGATGGGGTCACCCGAGCACCCGGGGAAGCCCCAAAAACCGAAGGACGCCAGGAGGGGAGGGGCTCAGAGGTCTCTCCCTCATATACCAGTTCCGGGGAATTTTTCCTCCAAAGACCAGTTTGGGGTAGCACCCATTCCCACGCCAGCAGAGGGGAGGGGAGGGCCTTCGTTTCCCAAGAGGAGGGGGTTTCGGCAGTTTCGAGAGGTGGCTGTCAGAACCGTTTTGGGATCCCATTTTGGGGTAGGTGGCCCCCTCCGCCAGGAGAGGGGAGGGGAGGGTTTAGGCCGCCAGGTTCGAGAATGTATGGTGAATGTATGGTTTACCGGTTTACCCAGGCATATCTATGAGTGGTTTATCTAAAGGTTTCTCTGGTTTACCCAGGGCTCCGACTGAAGTGGCTGTGGTTGTCAAAACCCGGAAACCCCTGGTGAACATCAAAATAGGCGGTACATGGGTGTTCACCCGCCACACAAATGGCTCGGCATATGACCCATGGCCATGTGATGCCACGTGCCCTTCAGCCACAAAAGTGTTGAAACCAGTGCCCTTCCCTTCCCCCCCCCCCCGAGGAGCCGGAGGGAATGAAGGCCCAAGTCGTCTGCAGGTTGGGTAGAGAAGAGTGCGTCAATGGGAACCTCGAAAACCAGTGACCCGTTTGGAAGTAACAAGGGAAGGGTTCGGAAACTTGTCCCGGAGGGTTGACAGTCAGTCTCTGTACTGCTGGCACAATTCACCAACCAACTGGCTATATCTGAAATAGTCCCGGCCATTTCCTCTTTGGTCATGGACTCAAATCTCTCTGATCAATGATTAAACATCTGCTCGGTCTTGCCCCAATGGAATCCCCCCCCAAAAAAAATTTTATATAAGTCTTCATCATAAGCTCGTGTTACTCCCAGGTGCGGTGGTCCCAACCTCGCCCCCACACCCTCTCAGAGTAGCAGCTAAAGCATTGCACGCATTTCTCCTTTTCCCCCCATGCGGTTTGGTTTAATCTGCAAAAATGTGCTCATTGTGGAAGTATCTTGTGCCATGCTTGAACATTTGGATTTTGTTTGGTTTGGCCGGAATGTTGTCATTTGAGTTTGTACTTCTGCAAAGATATTGATTGAACATTCTCACCATGCGGTTTGGTTAAATCACCGTTCTATGGCCAAAACATGGCCACCACGCGGTGGTCGGGTCCGAGGTCAGTCCCAACGAAGTTTTGGACTCGTCTCTTGGCGGCAGGCGGAGACCAGGCGATCGGCGCAGAGGCGCAACCTCGATGGAGTGGGGGGGGGGGACCGTTGGGGGGGGGGTGGGGTGTGGGGTGTGGGGTGTGGGGTGTGGGGTGTGGGGTGTGTGGGTGGGTGGGGGGGGATATCATGGCCACTGGGAGTCTATTTTGCAACCTCCTTCACTAAGGTGGTAAGAGGCTGCTTGTTTTCAGACGGTATGCTTGGTAGGTGGTTGGCTACCTGTTGGCTTCCCATGAAAATCATCCAAAAAAGTGAACTGGGGAGTTTTCGTGGACCCTTGTTATGCTGGGGGTCAAATATTCGGGGAGTTGGAACAAAAAAACGAGCCCGTGTTCTTTCAGAATGGATTCTACTGGTATACGGTTGGAACCAAAGCAAAAAAGGGGACAGGCTTCGCTGAAGGGCCCGTTACTTTGGAACCCAATCAAGGTGATTGATATAACTTTTAACCCCCAGTTCCCAAACCCCTTTCTTTGCTGAGGAAATCCTTGACTGCGGGACCGCTTCCCTTCGCCATTGCAAAATGCCCCTTGATGTAAGCTGATGGATGCCAAGATCCAACGCCCGAACCTGCGTCCAAGTACCAGCATTTCATCGAAGGACCTGACTCGTGTTGAAAAGCGGGGTTTGCGAAATCCCCAAGATACCACGGATGGAGTCTTGGGGGGGTAAACAAAGCAGAACCGGGGCGGTGCTCTTATACCACGAGGCCAATCATAGGATCCCAACCGCCCCCACCCCCGTCCACCTGTTTTCCTAAATCCCAAGGCGCGGGAATTAGGACCCCAGCAAAAAGATATCTTTCTTGCCTGGGTAGTGGAAAACAAAGGGAACCCCCAAAAAGCAAAAAAGCAAAAAGGGGAGCTAATTCTGGGGAAGTTAAATCAATGCACTTGCATGCAGTAGTTGAAAGACCACAATCTGGCTGCAACGCTCTCAAACACGAGACGAAGCGGAAGGCAAAGCCGTGGCAAGAATTGGAGGAGGGCCCGTCGGAGGTTTCGGGTCTTTTGCCCTTCACACGCGGCGTCTCTTCGAAATCATTTGGTCTGGCGTCAAACCTGCCCTCCAAACAGGCCCAAGGTTGGTCCGGCGTTTGCTCTGGATTTCTTTAACACCAACCCCCTTCCTGCCATTTGCCTAAGCCCCCTGGACAAAAAAAAAAAAATCAAATTTCCAGAAGTGATAGATTCCCTTTAAAACCAACAGGGATTTTTTTGTTTATTTAAAACAAAACAAAAATGCTTAAGCGAATGGAAGCTTCCCGTTTCGCCGAGGCGCGCCCACTTCTGCAGCATCCGCCCGTCGGCCGCTGCCTTTGGCCGCGATCCTGCCAGCTTGGGGGACACGCGGTCCGGGCGCACGTTGATGACCTCAGCCGGCCGTCGGCGTCTGGCGCCGAACACCGCCGAAAACCGACCCGGCAGCTCGGACACTTGGAGCTTGTGTGAGCGTGTGCGCCCGTGGGCGTATACTTGTGAGTGTGACTGTGAGTGCCGGAGTATTCACCCCATGAGTCATGGATAGGAGGGGTCAGGAAATCAGCGGTTGCCTCACTGCTTGGCAATCGGTGCTCGCACCAAGAAACAACTGGTGGATTTTATGGGTTGTCAAGAGCAATGTTGGTGCCCAAACTAGCAAACCAAGGCTTAAACAACCATTTGGCCGCCAAGCATTTGCTTGTTCGTTAAATTCCGAAGATGGATCATGCCCAGCTTGCAGCAACCTGCCATCGTTACCAATCCTGTCAATCAGCTAGATGCGCGTACTTGCTCTTTCCCGAACCTATGCATTAAAAAAGAAAAGAAAAGAACACAGCAACATCTAAGACCTAAGAAACAAGTACATCAACTAGGAGCAACTGAGAGCTCACGTGGGTCTCAGATTGCTCAAGGCTTCTGGTTTGAAGGTTCGGGGGCTCGAGGAGCTACCGGTTCTGGACAAGATTCCCATCAATCGGACAATACCAAAAGCTGGAAAGCGGGGGAACCCCGGTGCATCATTTGTATATATATATATATATATATATTGTACTGACCAAAAAAACAGATTTTGGTCAAACATCTGTCAGCCCTTGGATTTCTTGGTCTCCCCCGCCTCCCCAGCTTTTCGTGAACCACCGCCGCCTTTTTCGGCGTTTCAAACCCCCAACCCCGCGTGACGGGCGAGCTCGCTCCGCGCTCGCTCCGAGCTCGCTCCGAGCTCCCGGGCGACGTCCACGTCGGGCACCGCCACCCCGTTGGCGCGGCCCCGGGAGAGGTCGCTGCTCGCAAAGCCCAGGACCTCCACCTGGACGCTACTCGACTCGAGCCGAAGCTTGGGGCGGGGTGAGGGGGGTTGGGGGGGCGGGGGCGTTGGGGGGGGGCGGGAAGGAAGGGGGGGGTCTCAGAATCTGGTAACCCCTTGGTGGTGTGTTGAACTCTTCGGATCTTGTAGAGTTTGTAAATGGGTGTGTCTGTTTCTGGAGTTGGTACCCCTTGTTCGGATGCCTTTAACAGGAAACCAAGAGCAAAACCACGAATGTGTGTGGGTCCTCTAAAGAAAAACACATGTCTTACAATAGGGGACAGGTCCTAACAAATGGCGATTTGGACTCTTTTGCTTTACCTTCACATCAGTTGAAAAAGGGTACTCTCAAAAAAGACAGCCCCAAATCGGAATCGGTGTCCGTTTCCTGTGGTTGGTTTCCTTTCGGTTTTCCATTCTACAAGTACCAACCAAGCGGGGGGGGCGGGGGAGGGGGGGGGGACACTTTGGTGGACATTGCACGGGGATTTATGGTGAAAGCAACCGAGGGGGATGCGATGGGGACCATCGAAAGGTTGATTGGGGAAGATCAAGACAAGAGTCAAGAGGCTCCAAAAAGGCGGTTGCAGGCTCCCAACCCCTAAAGCCAACACCGTGGCAACCGTGGGTGTGGTGGTCAGGAGATGTGGGAGCAAAAACGCATGGCGCCAAAAGGCAGACAACTCGAACACTCGCAAAAGGGAACTGTCTGAACTAGAGTCTCTAGTCCAACTTGATGACTTCCATCGCACGGAAAAACATAGTGACGCCGGTAAAAGAGAGCTGGGTGTGGCTCAAAATTAAACAGGAGGGGTTACGCAGGTTTTGGTCCATGTTTCCACTTGCCAGGGTTCCGTTTTGGTACCGGTTTTTTGAGCCACAGCCAGCTGTTGCCCAACAAAAAGTCCAGTTGGTTGGTGTCCCACCTCGAGGTTTGGAGTCCTCGGAAACCGACCACCCGCCAGCCTCAGGAAGGCTGCTGGCCAACATCACGCGGATGGCCTGGCGACTTGCTGACGCGAATTGCGGGTGCGGTGGGTAGGTAGGGAATGTGAAATGGAATGAAGCCCAGAGTTGGCCTTACAAAAAAAACACCGGTTGAATGGTTCTTTTCGGGGTCATTCCAATTCTCATTCCCTACCGACCTGTCGTTGAAACTACCGTCTTTTCCCCTAAGAAAAAGCGCTCGGGTCTGGTGTTTAAAAACCCAACTTTTCTCCACCCGCTCGACCACTTCGGCGGAACCTTCCGAACCCGAGCCACTTTGCCTCTGGCGCACGTGCGGCGCGCGCAAGTGTGACCCGGCGGTTTCCGCTTAGCTCGGAGCTGAAAACGCGAGGATGCATGAGCTGGAGTGGATGCAACCGAGGCCTCCAGTTCAGGCGGTTGCTTCCTTTTGCCAATGCGTCCACTGGAGAGAAAAAAACATGTCCAGCAGTGATAGATCCCGGATAAAAACCAATGGGGGGGTTTTATACCAAAAATAACCTGAAGCAAATGGACGGTTATGAAGAATCACATCTTGCCGAAAGACCGACTTCCAGCAGGACTCCCTTTATATGTCCCCTAGGCAAAAAAGACCCCCCCCCCCCGGAGAAAAAGAATGAAAAATGCAGGGGACACTAAGCGTGGGTGTACTGCTTCAACCAAAAAATACAAACGGGGGACATGGCCATGTGTTGTTTAGCAGAAAACCCTCTGAAGAGAGGTTGAAAACGTCCTGCCCATATGGGTAGGAATTCGACCGCAGGTTTCGTCCTTGCTTCCATTTACTCGCAACCCCTAAGTTGTAGGCTGCCCAACGCAATGGACAATTCAGGCCATAGTGAAACGCCACTAATGTTGATTAATAAACCCGTCCCATTATTAGGGGGGCGAAAACCCCTCCAAAAGTGGTCTGAATCCCCACTAAAAGGGGACACCCCCCTATTAATCACCCAGGGTTTTCTTTAATCCGGGGTTAACACTACCAGATTGAAATCGCATGCCCCCGGTCCCAGCCGCTTCCCCATTTACATGGGCGAAATCCATTTCGCACCCAAGAAACGGTCCCTGACAATGATGCGCTTCCCCTGCAAATACCAACAAACATAGGTGTCCTGTTAGGTGAAATAGATGGCCCTGGTAGATGATTAAACCACCAGGTAAACCAGGGGAACCCATCTATTTGTGCGACCAAAACAACCAAAAAGGACTCCTATGCCAACAAACGTCATGGCTTGCGGAGTGGTTTCAAAGTGGTGCGGAGTGGATTTCGTTCCACCAGCCACAGTGTTCCATCTTCGGGTTCCCAGTTTAATGACCCACGCCTCGGCCAGGCGGTCGACGCCGCGCTGGGAGGCGGGCGTCGGCCTGGGGGGTCCCATCCGCTGGGAATGGGACGAGTCACTCGGCTCAGGTGGAGCGAGTCACCCGGGGGAAAGATACGCCATACGGTCTGGGCCCCTCAAATGGCCTGGGTCCAGCAGAGAGGCTGGAATAAGGGTACCAACTTCTTTCTGTCTAGTTTAGTAGGGGAAAACCCTCCCACCCAAAAAAGGGGAGAGGAAGGTTGCACCTAGCTGGGGGACCTAGCGGCGCTCTTGGGTGTCAAATTTGGATTTCCCTTCAACACCAAACCAAGCCTGGGACGGTTTCTCAATATAGGAAACGATCCAGTTTTCCAAAAGGCAAGGGGTGTCTTTTTTTTGAAGAAACCTCCAATCCTAATTTCCATCCCACGGGAAAAGTTTGCAAAACACCTTAAGCAAATCCAAGTTAGCAGGGTCGATCCAGTCCAATCAATTGTGATCAGTTCCGCCGTGATTCTTTTGCTCCTGCTGCTTTTTTTTTCTTTGCAACACCTCCTCTTCGGAGCATCCACGGAACCTCCCCAAAACTTCAAAAAGATTTCTCTCCCGGAACCTCCGAACGTCGACTTTCACACAGGTTTCAGGCGCTCCGCAAGCGTCAAGGCCCTGGCTTGCAGCCCAACTCCAGAATCTGCGCTATTCAGACCGGAGCAAAACAAATGCCCGACATGAAACCCTGAGTGCTCCATTGAAGGTCCGGTTGAAAGGGAAGCCCCGAAGCAGCCACATAATCAGCTTCCCTCCAGTTGGCTTAGTTTGGTGGCTCGGAGTTGTTCCAACCTGCGGCCCGGTGGAACAAGAATTACCCACCTTGCGAGGCCTTCCTGGGGATGGGCGCGGGTTTCCTTTCGTGAGATTGGCCCTTGAGCTGCCCGGCATGATTTGGGTGATCAGCTCCTGGCCGTCTCGCCGCGCGAAAGGAACCACACAAGCACAGACGTCACGGACCACGCATCAGAAAGTCGCCGAACTTTTGGAGAAGCGAAAAACTAACCAACTGTTCGACCTGGGTTTGGTATAGGCATCCGGTGCTGAATTGGTGGCTCGTCTTTTCTGGGGGGAACCTCCGTTTGGTTCGTACGGGGTTCCCCCTCCCATTTACATACCAACGCACATGAGACCCTAAAAGCCCCACGCTTTGAGGAAACTCCTTCAAGCTTTAAAAAAAAAAGGGGGAACAAAAAACAATGCCTTGAGGAAACTCCTTCAAGTTTTTAACCCAACAAACCCACTCTCCTTGAGCAAACTCCTTCAAGTTTTAACCGGGAAACAAAACAAAACAAAAACACGCTTTGAGGAAACTCCTTCAAGTTTTTAACCCCCCCCAAAAAAAACAAACACGCTTTGAAGGAGGTTTTTTTCCCCTTTCCAAAATGACACCTACGAAACTGAGCGCGAATCAAATCAAATCCGAGCGAGCCGAAGCTCCAGCTGAAGCTCCTGTACCTCTTCGTCCAGGCTCTGCCCCTGGAAGGTGGGCGCCAAGATGGGCACCTCCGGCCGCTGGGGTCAAAAGATCGGTACCCTCCCACCATGGAACCCGGGGGGGGGGGGGGGGGGGGGGGGGCTGGAAGACCATTGTGCTTCTTTTTTTTGGGGGGACCATCTTAAATTCCCATGCGAACTAGTGGGAGGGTATGGCACCCAAAATGGAACTAGTAAGTGGAAACAAGGACTACAATCTGCAGTCCCCTGATATAACCATACCCAATTGGGCGTGTCTTTGTTGGGATTCGGACCACCCATAATGGTGCCTGTCCTTTTAGTGCCCCCCTTTAAAACCACAAAAATGGGAACCGAGCCTCAAAAGACGACGAGCCACCCATTTTGCGAAATCCTTTTTTCTTGGCACCAGGACGGGCGGATGGGTGGATCTGCAAAATTGTCTTCGACAGATTCCCAAGCAAACATGCACCCAGTACTTTGAAAGGAAACCACTACATACGTACAAATATGTGTACATAATGCACATTATAGATGTGTATAGATATATATGTACATACACAGAGTAAGGATGCTCTTGCCCATAGGCTTACGCACTGGCGGACCCCTGCACTGGGAAAAGCAACCGGTGGTCTAACGTTTCCATCCGCAGGGACGGTTTTCCAAGCCGCGTGACCTCTGCAATACAGGCCCAAAAAAACAAGAGTCGGGGGGTCAAAAACCGGGTCCCGCGCTGATAAAGCCAGCGCTACAAGTTTTCGGACTACCCAAGGTCGACTTAAACCCAGAAAAAGTGAACCTCCCTGTGTCAAAGAATAATGGGGAACAAAACGGCGCATACCCCAGGTCAACTTAAACCCAGGATCGCTTTCCCAAAACTTGAACCTGTGTCAAATTCTGTATTGCAGAGGTCACGCGGCTTGGAAAACCGTCCCTGCGGATTGAACCGTTAGACCACTGGTTTCCTTTCCCAGTGTCCAAAAAAGTGGGGAGCCGTCTCACCGCGCAAAACGAACCGTCTCACCCCGAGGATCCCCGCCGCGGGGGTCTGTGCTTTCTCGTCCACGTGGGCGAGCTTCCTGCCAGAAGCTTGGCGTCGAGTAACTCCGATCCAGGGGGCCCCTACGGTGGAGGACCTAAACATTGCGTTCGGCGGTTTTTTTTAGGATTGGTTGTAAGGTTGTTAGGGTTTAGGTTTATGTTTTTTTTTTGGGGGGTTCAGGTTTAGAGCTTTTAGGGTTTAGGGTGTGACAACCTCGGTGGCGAAATCTGCGAAGCCCTGCTAACAGTGAATAAACTGTTAGTGGTTTAATACGGAAAACCCTTTAGTTGGCAAAGAGTTAAAGTCCTAACATCCAAGCAAAATGCACCAAAGAAACAAACCATCTTTGTTGACGTTGGAAGGGGAGCAACAAAAGAAAACTTTAGCAGTTAAGTGGGGACTTCAACCGCTCAACCACAATAAGCAAAAATATATTGTTTCCCAACAACAACCATGCCATGAGGATTCTCAAGGTTTCCCTCGTTCCCCACTTGCAATATTTAGGTCATCCGCCGCAGCGACCTCATATCAGCTAGGGTGCCGCACACGGAGATCCTAACTGTCAGCGCGCTGCCAGGCTCTTTGACACGTTCGATTTCGCTTGATCATGTTCCTGTTTTCACGGAAGTTTGCTGAGTCCTGTGTCTTCCTAGGGTTCTTCTGGTTGCAGCCCAAAGGAAAACCCAACCGGTGTCCGACAGCCAAGTGGTGTCCTTGCCTGACTGGAGAAAAAAAAAAACGCCCGCCGACCGATTCTCTCATGCTCGCCAAGTGATGCCTCAATTTCCTAGGCGTTGCCGGTGTTTCTCCCATGCTGAGGATGCTCCTTAGGAACCATATGGCTGTGGCTCAAAAAACCGATACCAAAATGGGTTACCCTGGTAAGTGGAAACATGGACCAAAACCTGCGTAACCCCTGCTTTTTAATTTTGAGCCACACCTTCTCCCAAAGTGCTGAGGATGCTCCCCTCAGGAAACTTTTGATGAGCTTTGCCGGTGTTTTTCCCTTAGGAACCGTATCCCCTCAGCGCGTCAGTTTGAAGCGGCAACTATCTCCGGCTCCTGGGAGCAGGGCGGCGGGTGAGCTTGCGTACCTAAGCGCTCGACGCAAATGGCCCCAGTGCTCGGTGCCATTTGGGAAAGCCAAAACTAGGTCCTCCAGTAGCGAGGTTGTAAGGCTACCAACTTTTTTCTCCAGTCTAGTTTAGTAGGGGGGGTTCCTCCCAACCAAAACAGGGGTGAGAAAGGGCACCAATCGCTGGGGGCCCTAGAAAAGCTTCAAAACGTCGGGCCCCCAAAGGGCCCAGTGCGTGGAGGTGATTCGAACTCCAGACGGGGAGTTTCCGGCCAGATTCCGTCGAGCTCTCATACCCCAGGGCCAGAAAAAGGCCAAGGTGGGATGTGACGAACTCGCCAGCAGGAGAATTCCCTGAAAGTCAACCTACGGATCTGCCCCAAGAATCAAAGGATCCATCTCATCGGCCGGGTCCCCCAACCTCCTACCAGTTCCAAGGAGTTCTTTGGAGACCAGAAATTCCGCGGGCTCGGGAAGAAACTGGATCCTCCCTTTTAAAATGCCAAAAAACAAACATCGCGTAAACCGCACTCCACGGCTTTTTTTCGGGGCAAACTCGCGAGTGTCCCGGTTGCCGTACTTGCCATCACCCCCAAAACTCTCTGCCCAAAGAGGCGATGTTTACAACTTAACACCTGCTCCCTGTCCTAGGACAAGACGAGGTGACGGGGGTTGCCCCCTTTCCCCTGTCAGATCCCCCTGCCTCCCGGACATCCGCCTGCGCCGCAGAAGAACCAAAGTCCAAACCCCCCCTTTTGCGGCACTTACTCCATGCCAAGCCGGTGGTGCTTGTGGTCGGAAGTGGTTGCAGCCGAAGTTTGCAGCCCATGACTTCAACATGCGAAGCACTCGAAAGTGTTGGCACGGCGAAGCCCCCGCTCGCCAAAACATCCCCCCCGCCAAAAACGGGAACTCGCTCTAAACATACCGGGCCCCAAAGGATCATGTTAAAACGTCATGAGGGGAAGATTGGACTTTTGAATTCATGTAACATGAAGCCATCATCAGGCGAAAAAAATCCCCCCCCCCCCGCCCCCGGAAGGGTTTAGCACTTCGAAGCCTAGAACGTCGGCTGTCTCTTCTTGGATGTTCGGCTGGGTTACTAAGTACTTGCCCCGCTTGGCGGACTTAGAGCTAAGTCCGCCATAAGCGGGGCAAGCACTTCGCAAACCAGCCGATCCAAGTTCCCACCACTTGGTTGACGTTGGAAAATTAAAGTCTTAGCAGTTTTGTGGTTGGACTTCAACCACTAAACCACAATAAGCAAACATGTTTCCAATGGTTCCCAACGACAACCACCACCCATCCCAAGCTTCAGGTCGCCTTCTCGAAGTGCGGCTTGGGCTTCCGCGGGCCTCACATGGGCTCGTCTTTAGCGGCCGGCCCGAAGCAACACCCCACGAACATGTCTAGGTCCTCCAGATTTGAATCCTCCAGAAACTAGGTCCTCAGCGCCCTCCGGTTGTCAGAATCCAGGCTAGTGGCTAGGCCCTCCAGATTTGAGAGCTTGGAATAAGGGTACCAACTTGTTTCTCTAGTCCATTTTTCAGTAGGGGAACCCTTCCCAAAAAAAAAGTGAGAAAAGGGCACGATCCGGGACCTAAAGCCTGCTCAAAATTGAAGCGGGCTTGTTTTCCGGAAAAAACTTTGGAGTTTGTTTTTGATCCTCTGCTTTGGCTGTTTGACTCTTGACCTGGAAAGCTTCCGGCGCCCGAACAAGCTGCGGTGAAGGGGCCAGCGATCTCACCACCGCTTCCCAAAGAGACCTCTCTGCCAGGATGTGACTGGTAGCTCAAAGAACCCGTGACAAGGCGGACAAAACTGGGCTGGAATTAGGACCCACACAAAAAATGATCTTCTTTGCCAGGCTTGTGGGGGGAAAAAGAAAAAACCAACACAAGAAGGGGAGCTAATTCTGGGAAAGAAAATCGCCCTTCTGGCCGCGGCGTACTATTGTGGGCAGAGCAAGCAACTAGAAGCGAGCCCACAACTACAACAGCACCCCACAAAAAAAGAAATGTGTCCTTTGTCCAAACCCCCCTGGGTGCTGTCCAAAACGAAGTCGTCCAAGACCAAAACGAAGCTCCAAGGTGCCACGCAATCAATGGGTGCCCCTGTGCATCAAAATGGTTTTTGGGTGCAAAACTCCGATCCCCAGCTCTGCAAATCTTTGCCCACTGTGGGACTCGGCTAGCGCTTGTTTTCCTAGACCAGGGCTCCGGATGCATGAAACACACCTGATCATTGCAACTTGTAGATGGTGGTGTCCTTTTGAATCTTGGTGTTGAAAAAGCAACATGCTTCAAATGGTGGCAAAATGGAGATCTTTTAAGGAGCCCTGCTATAGATGATTCTTTCAAAATCAGACATCACTTCAGTCACTCCAGTTTGAACTTCTTGCTGGTGCCAAGCCAAAGAGAGGCTATCTTGAGACAACCCCTGAGTTGTTGGATACTTTCTCTCAACTTGCGGGCAAGTTGCAAAGGAAAAACTGCCACAAGAGAAGTCCGACAGAATCCTACATGTTCAGCACCGTGCATGCGTGCGAACTTTTTTTCTCAAGCGCTTGGGTCCCGAGCTTTCAGACGGCAGAGCGATGGAGCGCTGCAAGCTTTGTACCTCCCCGGTGGCAAGGGTTTCCCAACAGGGAACTCCGGAAGTCGATTTTCATGGGGGGGGTGTCCCTCTTGGGAGTCAGAGCGTTTTGGAGGGAACAGGTTTTCTTTTGGGGACCTCCGGAAGTCGATGTTGATTGGGGTGTGCGAACGCTTTGAGGGCTTGCTCCGCGAACCAGGGGGGGTTCGTGGTGTCGCGGATTCTGGTCGGACCTTTCTGGATGTTTGAACCCTGACTCCGTCAATCTAGTGCAAGGTTGAGAAACAAGGCATCAAAACTCAAAACAATCAGAGATTGGCTGGCTGGTTGGTGAATGGTTGCGCATTGGCAACCAGGCCGCACTGTACCCGTGGCAAAAGCCTGGAGTTCTCAAAAATGATCAGAGAAAACCTGAACCCTCAATTATTATTTTTTGGACCGACGATCCGCTTCGCGTCCCCGGTCCGATCACCGATCACCGATCCGCTCCCCCGGGTGGGCACGATGTAGTAGCAGAAAGCCCCGAGGCACGCAAAGATGAGCTGGGTCAAATCCAGCGGCACCTCCCCCGCGCTCGAGGAAGAGACTGAGAGAGCACTTGGGTGCTCAACAAGCTTCAAACGATTTACTCCGTCATCACCCCTCGAGGGGGATTCTCAACGAGGTTCCTTACAAGCCCCGCCCCCCCCCTAACTGATCACCCCCTGGAGAAAGAGCTACCCGGGAAGCGATTCTCAAAGTTCTGCGTTTGCCACCTGCCGCAAAGGTTCAGAAGAGCAGGGTTCCGTATGTACCCCATTACTTGGCGAAAGGAAGCTCACTGTACATGGCCCGAAGTCATGCTTCAGCAGTTTCCTGATAAAAAGTCTCGGGCTCCTGCTCAAGAGCGATTGGGAAAGTCCCAAATGAAGCAAGGTGCGCCTTGAGACTGGTTGACTGCAAACCCATTTGAGCCGCTATCGACACCTGAGATCAACCGAGTCTACCCAACCAGGAGGGTTTCTTGCCGCCACCTCTTTTGGGACCGTCCCCACAACCTTCATGTCCCCCCGGAAGCCCCCAGCTTCGAATTGGTTTTTCGAGGCGAAGCCCCCATGGATTTGGGCCCGGGCGACGACGCAAATGGCCGTAAGCACCAGCAAGATGAGCATGTTGTTGGAAGGCTGCGTCCTTGGAACTCGCCGTTTTTCGCGCCAAGGTCGGTGTCAAATCCTCTAGAAGTGGCAAATGCGTAACCGAAAGCAGGTTGAGAGCTTGAAACTCCAAAAAACAACCAAAGAGGTAGATAACAACATACTTGTTGATATATCCCCCCCCATTTTCCCCAAAACAGAAGGGTAGTCTGGGTCCCCAAAGAAAAACATCACTGCACGGAGAAAAGCCTGCAACAATGTGACCCATTAGAGGTGATGATTGAGCCACCCCCCAAAAACAAAAATCGCAGCGGTCAATCCAAACATGTCGATCCGGTAGGAGCCATAGCTCCCGCAACCTTCACGGGGCGCGTGGGTGGTTTTTGAGGCCCCCCGAAAATCGCAGCAGTGTTCCTTTTGGCTTCCCTTTAAACCCCCAACTAAAAAAAAAAACAACATAAAAAAAAAAAACCCCCAACTTTAAAAAAAGAAAGAAAGACGAGAGCCACCCAAGTGAAAGCATAGTATCGGCACCTTGGGGCAATTGGAAGGCATCCATTCAGCTACCGGCCATCAGATTCGTTTCAGGGGAACCTCTACGTTTCCTCGCGGGAGAACTTCCGAATGGTGGTTCCCCCTTTATTTGCTTTTTCGTCCCCTGGAAAAAAGTATTATTTTATTTATTTATTCATTTATTTATTTACATAATATTTAAAAAAGTAGTGATAGATCCCCTTTGAAACCAACAGGGGAAATTACACATATTCTTAACCAAATGAAGTTTGGTTTCTCACTGCAACCCCCTATGAAGACACGCCCTGGACGCTAAAGGCATGCACCGGAAGGAGAAGCAACATTTCAATCGGTTGAGGACCTGCAAATTACAAACATCCGGATTCGTGGACACCTGCGGCAACCACAGGGCATCAGCGGCGTTGGAAGTGGGGCACTCTAGATTCGAAGGCTGGTTGATGTTTTGAGGGAACCAAAAGGATGCCAAAGGGCTGGCTTCATGAATCACATCAGCTTTCCCAGTGCTTCTGGGCAAACCACTTAGGCAATCAGGGCGGTGCACCATGTAAATCCAGAATCTGCATTGCGGACAACGGGGCCAAATCCTGTTGTAGTTCACGTCCGGATTGCCTTTGAACAGCCTTGCCCAAAAAAAATGTTCAATCAAGGCAGACCGCAAGCTTGTCAAGGGTCCTCGAATGGTGGGGACCTTTCTTTAAACTGGGCTGCCCTCAGCTCCCCTGCTAAAAGCTTAACTTTTAGTGGGTCAAATGGAACCCCCACTAAACACTAAAGTCTAAAAAGCTAAGGAACCGAATGGCTTGGAGCCAACAAGAAAAGAAAAAACTTGGAAAATCGGTGCTCTTTGCCTGCCGGGAAGTGATTGGGCCCCTTTGGGGCCAAAAACTAATGATGGGAGTCTTAGTCGTAGTAGACAAGTCCGAACCAAACATGGGGGGTGTTCCGAAGGAATGCAAGAGAGCCCCACCAACAGAGGTACACATCTCCATCAAACCCGGCTTGGCTGTAATGCAACAGTGGGATTCTCATCCCTACTACGTCGTCACCTTCAACGCAGTTGCCTTGGTATCACAAAAAATCGGCAACCACCCCCAATCTCCACCAACTATCTGGTCAAATAACAATGATTCATCAACCGGAAACAAAGAAATCCACAAGGACCTTCATCATGGGTGAGCTCACTTTTCCCCCCTGATCAGTACGCTCTGAAATAGAACAATGCAGGGGATGTACATCCTGAGCTCCCAGTATGCATTGCCAGGCCACAGAGACTGATAGAGGCTGACGGGGGCCTGGAAGCAGGTCACAAGGAAACGCTGCCAGAGGGTAGCGCAAAAACTCAGGGTGCTTGCGCATCACTCTCTCGCTCACCAAAGAGGGTGGGTGGCCATTGGAAATTCATCGAAGCCATGGGCCGTTCATGTTCCCCAAAGGGTCCCAGCATCAATTTTGCAATGTGGGTGTGTTTTGTTTGAGGGCGCCATTTTTGATGGCAACATTTTGGAGGGCGCCATTTTTGAGGGCAGCATTGTTGGCACCCAACTTCAAGCTACACACCCTGTGGGGGGGGGTCTCTCCGGTTGGCTTCCCGCCAGGGATCGGCTTCAGCTTCAGAAAACCGCTCGTAGCACTCGGGTCGCTGGTTGCCATGGCGGAAAAATCGCTGGTAGATCCTTTCAAACATGAGCTTTCACAACGAAACACAAGCAAACAAGTTTGGTTGGTGTCGTTTGTTGCCTTGGTGAAATCCGTTTCGGACAACTTGGAACCCCAACTGCGAGGACGAAGGCCACGAAGACGAACTCCCAACAGCTCGGTTTGCACACCAAAACACCTCTCTAAATTAACAAATCAACGTGGGTGAGGTGTCGCTTTGTGCTTAACTCGTAGTGAATCCCCTGTTTCCCATGCAAAGGAGGTGAACAAACAACATAGCAACGGGGTGTCGATCTCGGGCCTGAAAGGCCTTTTTCACCCATTCTGGTCGCAAGAACATGCCATTGGCCTTTCTGTAGGGCAAAAACTCTTGGGGGAGGTGATCATGTTCAACCAGACAGAAGGTAAGTCGGCTAAGACTTGGCCAGGCTTGTATGGGCCCCCTTCCAGCAATTACATTGTTTGCCTGTTGAAAGGGAACATGAAGGAAACCAAAATGCGCACAAGGTCAAAAGGCTCCTTGGAATGCGTGTATCAAAAGGTAATCCTACGCCGTGCTCGCCTGTCTCAAGGATTAGACTCGGCTGCATGAATCTAGGGTCAAACCAGCCTCGAAACAGCAGGCCAAGCCCTGGGGAAAATAGTTGGCATGTAACCAGGAAAAACTTATAGATCATGTCACATATGAGGATGATGTACTCCTTTCACTGTAGGCAGTGGCTTGAGGGTTGTGGATTCTCAGAGTTGATGGAGGTTGACCAAACGCAAAGGATCTGCAAAAGTTGAGCCGCAACTCTCTGCGCGAACGGGTCCCCATGTCCCCCTCTGTGTAGAGGAGTCCGAAGATCACCTTGAGTGTTGTCTTCCTTGCCCAGCCATCGGAGAAGAACCCATGAATATGACGCCCAGGGTGTGTATCAATTTCCCGCATAAATTCCCTTATCCAGAAAAGGAAGTTCACTTTGAGTTAGCAAATCTTCGCAACCACAAACCAACCAAAACAACTTCTGAAAACAACCACCAAAGACAACCCAAAGACTGCCCGAAAACCGCCAAACACCACCAACAAATCCGCTTTAAGCCTTTAGAAACCACCGAAAAGGGCTCTCTCCTCGGAACCCTGTCCCTCCCATCCCATTAAGCCGATTAAGCCATTACCCGCTTTCGCGCCTTCGGCATGGACTGCATAGCTACACGGTAGATGGACCTCAAGCCGGGGAAGAAGAACTCAGGTTCCATGTTGCAACGAGATGTTTCCCGAAAACTCCCGGAAAAAACATGGAACTCAATCGAGCTTCCCGTTTTTCCTGGAAAAATTCCCGCTTCCCCCGAAAAAAATCCCCCGGCGCCCGGACATTCCCCGGAACAGCCCGCACCTCCGAGCTGACCCTCACATGCAATCGGAGCATCGGGGTGCCCTTCTGGACGTTCCAAGCCAAATCACCTAAAGCTGTCAGCTGGGTGAATCTAGTTACAGGGTTCCACTTTTTGACTACCAAATAGACTTAAACCCAGGGGTTCCCTTTTTGGGGTACATGACCCACTGGGGTTAAGTCTATTTGCAGGCAGTCAAAAAGTGGAACCCTGGGTACATACATCTAAAATAAAAGAAAGACAAAAAAGTGAGCTCGTTCTCATTTACCCAGAATCCTACTTGGCTGTGGGTCAAAAATGCGTACCCAAAATGGGTTGCCCTGACAAATGGAACCAAAGACTAAAACCAGCGGTCCCCTGCCCACTTCACCCCACTAAAAAACCAAAGCCCGACACCAAAGACTTGGCGGTGCTCCCTCCCCGGTCAAAAGCCCGAACTGGGCGCTGAAGTCGCCCATGCGGATTTCTTGCTGGCGCGAAAGGTGGAGAATATGGTTGCATGAACCCAGGCTTTGGCCCCTTAAAGGAAACCACCAGCTGGATGGTTTTCTTGGGGCCATGCCAATTCTTATTCCCTGCCAATCGCACCACAAAAGCTTGTGGGGCAACTAAAGACATCTTGGTTGACGTTAGAAGGGGAGCAACAATTTAAGTTTTAGCAGTTAAGTGGTTGGATTTCAACCACTCAACCACAATAAGCAAAAATGTTTCCAATGTTTCCCAACAACCATTTCCAGCAAAAATGTAAAATGTTTCCCAGCAAAAATGTAAAATGTAAAAATGGACATGATCCCCCCAAGTCGACCTTCCGGACATTCCGGACGTCTCGCGTTTCGCCTTGCTCCAAAACGCTCAGCCGGAGCTTGCGGGACCTCCGCACTGGCCCAGGGGCCCCTGCAACGATGGGGTCCTTGGATTCTGTCCTCCAGTAGAGAGGTCCCTTTTTTTGTGTAGTCTATCTATTTTAGTAGGGGAATTTTTAAAAAAGGGTAAAAGGGCAGTACTGGGAGACCGAGGATTGGTCTTCTTGTTGATGCCTTCTCAATTCAACTGTAGAATGTGGGGTTGTCTCAGGATGGTTCGTGTCCCTGTGTTTTCTTGAAATCCAAAATATGGTACCCGCAAAAAAGGAACCACACCCATATCAGCATCAGCACCTCTCACCTCTCCAAGTCTGATGCTTTGACCCGTCTTTTTGGACCCAACACATGCTTCTCTGTTGAGGGGGACAGGTCAAAGCAAAGAAAGGAAGGCCCAAATGAACTAACCCCTGCGCAATATGGTTGATTGAAGTTGGGGGTGCCATCCTCTCACCTGCGCTGAAGGTCCCGAAGCCACCCCCCTTCCCCTCCCTCAAAAAAAAAAAAAACGGGCCGCTACTTTAGGAAACGTCGTGCTGGGTTTCGAGGCGCGGGCAAGTCGAAGTTCTTCGATCTCAGGTGCTGCTGGAGAGCTGTCCTCCCGGGTTTCAATTATGTTGATGGTCAACCCCTGCCGTAGCGGAGTCAATTTTCCAGCTGGTGGATGTTCCCCTGCTCACCGGGATTTGTTTTGTGCATGAGAACTTGCTGTTTCGCGCAACTAGCGGGCACTGCCCACAGACAGCAGCAGAGAGACAGCAGAGAGGATTCCTGCATGCTCACCTGTTGATCTTTGCTTGGGCAGGGCTTGTAACTACAATAAGGGATATGAAAATAATTACTGATAACTAGCACTCGTCATGGGAGCCACCCCATTCATGTAAAGCATGGCCCCTTACGTGTCCACCTTAAGCATTCTCGCCAAAAACTGGCAAAGTGATGTTCAAACTGGCTTAGATTTGAAAAACTAGCTCAAATTTTCAGCAAAACTGAAAAGCTGTTTCAAAGGGATTGGAAACTACGTTGGAAATCAACAACACTGAGTCCTCACCTGTTCCTAAAAAGAGAGACCATGCGCCACGGTGTCGGTTGGGGCGCCATGTCTCGTTGCCTCAACCCTTGAATGGGAGGGAGGGTCACCGGAAAGCGTTGAACTCCCAGAAAGCTCGCGATGCGGAACGCGTCCTTCACCTACTTACCTGGACCCTAAAGCTGTGCTTCAGGCGCATCGCCCTTGTACGCGTGCCTCAACCGAGCTTATATTGATTTAACCCTAAACCCACCTCAAGCAACCCCAAACCAACCTGCACCCCACCCTCAAACCAAACACCCGAAACCAACCCACGCCAGCCCTCAGCCCACCTCTAAACCTATCTTCAGCCACCCCAAAGCCAACTCTTGCCCCATCCTAAACCCACCCCAAACAAACCCTTCACCAGCCCTTACCCAACCCTAAACCGTGTACAACCATTCCACTGTGCTCGGAGACTTGGATTCCTGTACAACCATTTCGAACGGGTACACCAGAAAAAAGACACCTATCTTGCTTGCTTCCCTGTTCAGGGATATGGAGAAGCCCCCTTTTGGATGGGGTTTTAAGGGACACCAACCAGCACTGTTTGGTTGCTTAGGCTCCCCACATATCGGCCGGCCCAAATTTCCAGGAGTCTATTTCCGTTCCAGGATGCTTTTGGGGGGATGTTCAGATTTGGGATCCAAGCAAGGGTGCAAGAATGGGCATCTGAAGACCAGGAAACACTGCCCTTTGTGGGCCGAAATTCATGCACTTCATGTGCAAAGCCAAGAAAAAGCTGGAAAGCGTGAGGGCTGAGGCAGAAACATTGGCCCCCTCGGCAAGTCTCGCAGCGGATGCGGAGCAAGTGTGGAGACAGCACCATCGGCCGCGCGCACTGCTTCGCAGCCTTCAAACGTTGAACTCTCAGCGCATGTTTGGTGGGTCGACCCTTAAAAGCTTGTGCTTGCTGTTACAATGTTGGCTTGCGTGATCCTCTGCGGACTTCGATGGGTCGACCTCAAACTACTCGCGCGTGTTTTACGTTCAGCTTTCGGGACCATCAAAAAGTGAACCCTCCGTGGACTTTCGGTGTGGCTTTTGCAGGTTTGACTTTCGTGGGCTGGGGAGAAAAAGAGAAAGAGAAAAGACAGCGCCAGAGAGAGAGAGAGAGAGAGAGAAAGAGAGAAAGAGAGAAAGAGAAAAAGGGAGAAAGCGAGAAAGCGAGAAAGAGAGAAAGAGAGAAAGGAGAGAAAGAGAGAAAGAGAGAAAGAGAGAAAGAGAGAAAGAGAGAAAGAGAGAAAGAGAGAAAGAGAGAAAGAGAGAAAGAGAGAAAGAGAGAAAGCGAGACAGAGAAAGTGAGGAAGCGAGAAAGGGAGAAAGCGAGAGGGGGAGAGAGGGAGAGGGAAAGTGAGGAAGTGAGAAAGTGAGAAAGAGAGAGAGAGAGAGAGAGGGAGCACGAGAGAGAGGAAGAGAGGAAGAGAAACAGAGAAAGAGAGAGATAGACAGAGAGATAGAGAGAGAGAGAGATAGAGAGAGATAGAGAGAGAGAGAGAGACAAAGAGAGAGAGAGAGAGAGAGACAAACAGAAGGGGAAAAAAAAGCGTCCTCCAAACTATAGTTGGTATGCTCTGAACCTTCCGCCCCCTGGCTCTGCCGGACATTACTGGTACCCCTGTACAATATTCCATTGAGGCTGACCAAATGCTGGAAACCAGTTCAATTTTAAGGTTGAGTTCCACGGTACATTGTCAGCAACAACAGGTCTCTTGAAATGATCTTAAACGGCGGCCCTTTCCATATCAAAAGAATCATCCATGCCCTTTGATGGTCCAATCGATGGGGTATGGAAGGGAGTTTGTCATGCTTGGGGTACATGTGGGAACGCAGAGCATTTCCGTAAGGTAACAGGTCAGATCCAGGCATCCCTGAGCAGAAAACTTTGCCAACTCACTACCTGAAAGACTACAATTGGGTGTGGGTCAAAAATCGGTACCTAAAATGGCTTGCCCTGGTAAATGGAAACGGACTACGGTCCTATTCCTTGTGGTTTAATTTTGACCCATACCCAATTGGCAAGAGGGTGAACTACAACTTTGGGACAGCCATCTTGGGGCCGCAGCTCTTCCAATTACCAGTTTGTCGGTGTGTTGCCACGTTTTACATGGGCGTGTCGTTTTTAGGGGACCCCGTTTTTTAGTGGTTTTCCTGCTGGTTCCCTTCAAAACCACGCAAAAGGGGTATCAACTCCAAAAACAGGCTCTCTGATCGGTCTGACGTGTTTTTTGGTCGATAGGCCAACAGGCATGGCAGGGTTGATTCCAACTAAACAAACAAGCATAACCACAAACAGGGGTTCCCTTATGTCCTGGTTGGACGTAACTTCACAAGAGGGCCCTAGGAAGGAATCGTCACTAAAGTCCACAAGGGGGCGCCTTGATTGACCGGGAGCTGGTGCAATCAGGGATCGACATGACTTTTACCAAATTCGTAGGGAATCCGCCGCAGCTTCCTTGCCATTCCCCCCGAAAAGTTCCACGCCCAACCGCCCGACCGCCCGAGGCATCGGATCGGTCCTTCAGCAAATAGTGGTGTTACCGTTTGCGCGAGAGGCGCAGTGCCGTGAGTGTGCTTGAGCCAAATCAGAGATCCAATTCCGCAGATTCGATTCGAAGCCTGCCCAACATCTCAATGAGGCAGTGATGGCAGAATCCACGAGGTGAAAGGATTCTGTAAAAAGCTCTTCTGAGTCTACAGTTCCATTTAGCAAGGGTTCCATTTTTATTTTGGGCCACGATGAGAAACTGACCGGGGGCTTGGCTGAGTGTTGGCTGAATGCCTGCCTGCCTGGCTGCCTGATGCCCGTCTCTTCAAGGCGAAATGCTAGCACAACATGCTTCACGTCCTCTTTCCGTCAATTCTGGGCTTGGGGGGCTTGAATT